TAGTAATTATTCATCTTTTCCCCACAGTACATTATCATAAAGCTTTAACATAATTTGCAACAAATGCTTTTGTCTCTCTTTCATCTTTACAAACTTCCCTGAATTAGAAGAGTTTATCTCAACTGGTATTATCAGCCTGCAGAATTCAATATATTTTAATTAAGAGGATGAGTGAGAGTTTAGCCTACCTAGCTAATGACAAAATATCATGTTCTCCATTTAATTAGGATACATCAGAAGGTTCCTATTTAAATTCTCTTCAATGTAGGGGCGAGACAAATGTTATAGCATAACTAGATTATTTCCTGTAAATTACATTGTGCAGCACTAGACATTGAGATGCAGAAAGAAGAAAAACAGAGGCTTTAGGAACTGTTTGGTAGCTGTCACAGCAGAGCAGATTCAATGTCCTGCAGATGGCTAATGCATCAGTGTTCATATGCTCCACATGGTATGGCAGCACCTCTTGTCCTTGCAGGGATGGCAGCAGCACTAATTATGTGATGAAAGCTTCCCAAGGTCCAGGCTGCTCTCACTTTGGTTTGGTGTTCTAAACACTATAAACAGAAGGAGCCAGAGGTCCTCTCCCATTTACCACCTCACTTGGTTGTTGCATGAGCCCACCCTCCTGCTATTGGCATCAGAGTGGAGTACAGGCAGCAGGTGTGCATTGACACTGCAATCGCACACACACTGCAGTTATGGGATTTAGAATAGTGCTGACTTCCAATCCCTTCCCTAGTTTTATGGATCACTTTATTATAAAGATATAGAGGGGTATTGAGCTCCCAGAAAGTCTTCTAGATACCTCTGATGCAAGCACGGAGAGCCGAAGCACACATAGGCTTTTAAACCTTGAGACTGCAAAATATACTTGGTATGTGAGGGAAGGAATTGTTGCAGGCTGCACTACAGGTGTAACTTGTGTACATGGTGGCAATATCCAGCCCAAGAAAATCCAGCAACCTGCAAGTCAAGGAAGACTCATTCCTCTGCTCACTGCTAAGAAATCTGTCAGACTAAGGAGTCTTTCCTACTTGGCTACATCCTAGGACTTTCACAAAGCTGACTTTGGCTGTTTCAAATAACCTCAGAGAAAAGAGGTTTCTTAAAGCTTTTCACTACTTTTTCACTTACACAAAACATACTTTTATCATGCTGTGTTTTAAGAGCTCTACCAGCCAAGCAGAAATTGGTAGCACCAAGTTTGTATTCATTCTCTTACATTCTTTTCTTCTTGCTTTCAGCATGCCAAACTATCCCAGCTTTGCTACTACTACCCTCTGCAGGGGTTGCCTGAGCAATCCCCAAGTGATTTAAAGGGTGCTGACTCCAGAAGAGTAAATCCAGAAAGGTGATCAACTGGGGAAAGAGCCTGACTTCAATATTCAACAGCATCTCCTGGGAAATCAAGCCTCCAGAGCTTCCCAGCATTTGACACTTGGAAAGCTACAGTTCCAGTGAGTGGCTCAGCACCAACTAAAAAAATCTGTTACTAAAAATTAGTTCACTTCATATTTCATCATGGCCCTTTGTCACCATTTCTTTTGCTTATCTCAAAAGTTGTGCTTTGTAGTGTCTCTTATACCTTCATGTGTCTCTTTATCAACCCTCTTTTAAGACAGTAAGAAAGAGTAAAATTATTTGACTGCTCATAGATTAGCAAATTTCTTGCTCTGTACAGCCTCCTCTTTCATCTGTCATTGTCACACTTCCCAATATTAATAAGAAAAAGACATTTATAAGGCAGAATCTGTTGAGAGTAGAGATGAGCTTGGTACAAAGGATACTAATTGTAACTTTTATTTTTTAGCTCTGCATTGATCCCAACAGCTGTAGACACTTACAAATCTTTTCCTATAGCGCCTGCACCTTCATTACACAAAAAAGAAAAAGCATATCAAGGAACAAATTCAGCCAGCAACAGTGTGTGCAGAAGGTAAGCTGCAGGATGATTTCTTGGCCCCTTTGACCATGACAAGTGTTAAGAGTTTCATCTTGCATCAGTCAGAGCAAAACAGATTTTTTTTATTCAATGGGAAAGGGGAAGAGACACCAAAAGGAGATGGAGAAAAGACAGCACAGGGGATGGTGTGTGTATAGATGGGTCTAACTGTGGAAGGATATTGGTGTCACCTGCTTCAGAGGAGTGGGGAAGGGCCCAGTGTTTAGCACCAGCAGCAAACACTAACGCTGCATAATTACAGAGTACTCAGTATGTATTCGGGCCTGGTGTGTTTTTGTAGTGAATTCCACTCCAACTGTATGAGAGCTGTGGACATCAAAGAAGCTGCAGATTAAGTACCTGCAGCTGCTGCAGTAAGTAACAGGAATGTATAGATACACATGTACATAGATACACCCAGACTGTTAGCCAACTGGCAGGAGCACTGTTTAAGAAAGTTGAATTGAAAGCAGCAAAGGTTTTCCTATTTTTCCAAAACTGACAGCCCCTTCTTTAAAATTCCCATCTCTTCAGTGTTTGTTAGCCTGCTGCTCTATCATCTGACTCCTCACTTATAATTTACATGCCTCTCCTGGGCAATCAGGGCTTCTCCCTTCTCTTGAGTACAAACAGCTGAGGAGAAAGAGCACTCCCTTTGTCCCGCTGCTCTTTTCCCACCACCTTCTCACCTCTGAGGCATACAGCAGCTCTGCACCAAATGATGTGGTCAGTGTCAAACATGAGAGTTATGTTTGCCTAACAGACTGGAGTTCATCAATGCTTCGGAAAAAAAAAAAAAAAAAAAAAAAAGACTTAAAAAAATGAAGGGCAGAATCCAGGCCACGCAGAATTTAAGAATGAGTAGCTGTCAGAATCTGGGCATTTATTTCATTTCAACTCATAAGAGAAATGACAAAATAGAAGAGGAGGAACAAGAGAATACAGATGTTTTAAGATGTCACTTTGTTCACTACTAGAGGTAACAGCAGGGTGGGTGGATGTGAGATTACACCAGTTGCTAATAGCATTTTTGCCACTGAAAAAATATGTGCAGGATGCTTTTAGAGTGCTGCTCCATTAACCAACATTAGTCATCCATTTCACAACTGAATTGGTGAACAATTGATGCCTTTGGGCTCTTCTGAAGTTTAGGTTGGTTTGGTTTGTTGGGTTTTTTTGTTGTTGTTGCGGGTTTTTTTAATAACATCTCTACTGTAAAAGTGCAAAGCTCTCCCTGTGCACAGCAGGCAGGGCTGTATTAATCACAAAAGTTAGTACTGAAGAAATATCATGACAAGAGCACTTGGGATGTCAAACAGACCAGAAATAAAGTCTGTATCTGGCTCAGAATTTGGTCTTTGCAGTTAGCACCAATAGTTCAGAGAGTCCCATGGTACCTAAAGGCATCACAGTCTCCGCCCACTTATTTGCATTATCAATAACAGATCTCATCAGATTTCAGTATCAGTTGCAGTACTAATTAAAAAACCCATCAGCCTATCTCTTCACCCTTATTCTCTCTCTACATTCAAAGCTGCTTGGGACTCAAGGGAACTTGAGAGCAGATACAAGAAGCAGCACATCTCATCCACACAGCCCAAACTGCACTACTTGCAGAGCTGATAGCTTCAGAAAGCACTGCTGGGTGGTGCCCATCTCCACCACAAGACACCTAGCACTAGCTGGCAGCAGTATTTCTTGGCAGGGCATGCAGGTGTTAGGGGATATGTAAGAGGTAGGTGACTAAGGCTAGCAGTGCCCTGGATCTGGAGTCTCAGGCAGGCAAAGAATGGCTGAGGAAAATGTTCCACTTTAGCAAGTACCAGCGAAGTTGTCCAACTTTGAATCTTCCTGACTCCTGGGTGTGCTGTGTACATACTGCAACATGGGGGAAGAAGGACAGACACAAGCATTCCTTAGCTGGTAAATGCTTCAAGTATGTGATGCAGGACACAGTGCTGTTGGTCACAGAGCTGCTGAAGTCTTCTGCTGTGCAGACAGCAAAGGATAACATGCCCCATGTGCCACAATGGGTGTCTGCTCTATGGACAGTGTTTGCAGGTGCTGCCAAAGCTGAAAGAGCAGCAGAGAAGGTGGGAATGAATTTGAAGGGGTCACTTAACTGGTAGGGGCAAAGCACTGCAACACTTTTACCTCATTTTAGAAGGATTCGATTTTAATGCCCACAATCATGGCACAGAATGTTGGACAGCAGCACACAAAAGTCTTTGGGGAGTTCTCCACTTTTGAAGCCAGACACAAAGCTGAGAGAGAGCCTTTAGGATACAGGGACAGCCACCCGAATTCACAATGTTGAGCCAGAATTTAAAAAATAATAATGGTAATCGCCTAAAGGACTGAGCAGAACTTGGAAGCAATTCCAGGACACACATATACAGCCTTCTTCTCTCATCAAATCTGCAGGTTGAAAAAGGTGAGTCTTCAGGGTTAAAAACCAAACAAAAAGTTGCTGCACCATGCCTGTCAGCTTGGGGGAATTCACGTTTATCCGTCTTTAAAAAGCTCCAATCATACTCATCACTGTGGCCAACACCCATGGTATCATCAGGTGGATCAAGCAGGGGAATGTTTAATTGTTATAGTCAGAAAATCCTCAATAATCAGCAATGGAAAGAGAAAACCACACATCTTTCTATGGGAGTTTGGGGCCTGGCTGGAGTAGTCCAGCATGAGAATAGCTGGGAGTATGGATCCAAGGAAGGTGTTTCTAACAAGGAGCAGGTTTGGTTATGAAACTCCCATGTAGGATCACTTTTGTTTCCTTTCATCTCCTCTGCTATGGTGGTGTCTGGATCTACCCATAAAGTTAGTAACTAATATGTGGTTCTGTGTGGAGATGGTAGAGAGACAGAGGAGAGGACAACTTTCCAATGAGCCATCAAAAATAATGGTTAGGAATTAATTCATGTCAGCTGGAAAAACAAGCAGTGCAGATGCTACAAAATACATGGAAAGGTGGTTAGGTGGATGGTTTGAGATCCCCTCTCTTTTATGGTCCCAGAAGCAGTAAGACTGCAGATTGGAGAGAGTTCTTCTATGCAGCGTTTCCATTGTCCAGCTGTCTGTAGTGGAAGAGACTCCTGGAGTCCAATTTCCCAGAGTATTTGAAAGCTTCAGCAAAAAGCTTTGTCACCTGTCAATACAAAGCAGAGGAGGACTGAGCATTGCAAAGCCTTCTGCAGCAGGCTGAGTGATAGAGCAGGCTCCACACTTATACTCTGCCACCCTGAAGTCATCCTAAGCAGGTTCAGTCCTTAAGTCCATCCAAATCAATACCAATCTCAAGGTCACTGTGCATAGGTGCTGGCTCCAGCCCTCTGGAGCCTGCCTGTCCAGCTGGAGAGATGCAGATTGTGCCAAGCATCCTTGGCAAGACAGCTCTCTCCCATGAGAGTTGTTATTTCTCCCTAAAGCCCAAGCCTAAAGAGAACGAGGGTTGTTTTCCCCTCTCAAGTTCCAAGACATACTCTGCAATCAAAGTAGTTCAGTGTAGTTACCACCACACCTGCATCAAGCATCAAGCAGGTGTGGTGGTAAATTTTGAATAGGGACCCTCGTGCTGTTTGTCAGAGTGTGTTTCTCTAGTAGGCAAAGGAGGGGTCTTCAACTCCCCGTTCCTGCTAATCATGTCTGGCATTATCCTGTCTATGAACTTACAGCTTGGCATTCTCTCTGCTCTCCACTCACTCCAATCACAGCAGAAGGTTTTTCACAGCTGGACACCAGTTCAAGTCACTGGGTACCATGTCAGAGCCCACCAAAATCAATGAGAGTTTGGCTGCTGTGCTTAATGAGGGCCAGATGAGGCTCTTTTGTGACAGTCAAAGCCACTTGCAAAGGAAGGCAAAGGTACTGCTGGCAG